ATGCAGTTGCCTAATAAGAACTTTACATTTCACATCACATGAAAACGTATGAGTGTAAACTTAAGTGTGCTGGGATATTGAACTATCACATTAAAAAGAAGAGTCCATTTTGCACTCAGTACATTTGAGACGAATTCTGTAGTCTGCTTTATGAGACAAAACTATATAGATATGTTATAAAATAAGCTGTCAGTAAACATCTTTTTATTTGGAAGTCTAATGTGTAAAGATTGACAGAATGCACAGAATGAACATTCTAATGTTCTTGTCTTTCTCTTCAATTTCTAGAGTGGTGCCAGTTAATATAAGCAACGTTTAGAACTTAGCTTTAAAGACTTGCTCAGGGCTGAAATTTGTACTGCAACTGGCCCAACCTATACAAAATTATTTTTTCTGTTCAGTTTGGAAGTACTTAGGTATGCTAAGTGAATTGTGATAACCTAGGGTTCCAGACCATTCTATTAATTTTCATTGACTGAGATTTTGCCAAATTTCAGTCCTTAATATAAATTAGTGCCTTTGTTTAGTTTGAAGAACAACTTGGTGACAACACTAATTTATGTGATTTTTTGTTTGTCTACCATAAAAGATAGCAATGTTTTCTGAAGATTGTTGAATGTATGTGCTATTGCAATTGTTTAACAATGTATAATTATGCAAGAGTTCTCATGGACTATTAATGAGGGATCAGTAACTTACATTATATAAAGCTTTACCACTTTTGTTTAGCCAAGGATACCAAAAATGAGAAGGTAATTTAAATCATCAACTGATGCAAAATGCATTATTCAAAGTATGTTCCATTGAGTTACATCCAGGTAACATCACAATTGCCACATTGGTTATATTAACACATTTTCATTTTGATCAACCTATCCAAACTAGACCACCACAGCAAAGTCAATTTGGGTTCCATTGTAATAATTCCAAGTCATGCAATTGTAGTAGCAGCAATTCTGGGTAAGTGCCAGCATAGGGAAGGCTCATCTAAATACATGCTTGACTTGAAACTTATATAGCCATGTTTAAGAATATACATAACTTGAACTCATGTTTGTCTCATAGTTTTCTATAAAATAAGAGATTCAGTGCATCACTGAAAATGCTATTTAATGCTATGAGATATAGTTTCCTCTAAAAGCATCTTGAGTTTTTAACTGAGCAAGTTAGTAGCCACTTTATCTGCTTTCATATAGCCCCATTAACCACTGTCATCCAAAATTAAACCCATATATCCATTGGAAAGGACTCAGTAAACCATAAAACTAATGCCTGGTTTCATTATTGCTGGAGTATTCAGCAGTTACACTTGCACTGGAAGATTAAATGGCAGATTCTGAAGCAAAGTATATACTTGTGACATAGAGCTCTACACTAAACCATCAACCCAGGAAAAGTAAAGTAAAATTCATGGATGTAGGGCCAAACCATTTTAGACCATACGGCTGGGTTACTAGATCAGTTATCAGATTTCTCATTTCCTGTGTAGATTAATTTTTCAGAGACCTCTAGTATGGTAATAGTGGATGTTTTTAAATGTATCTTTTCTAGATTCTTCAACATCTGTTTTCAACTTCGAATTGTAGAAGAATCACCGGCATAAAATAGCTATTAGATGAAATAGTTTGAACTGGGATCAGCAGGCTTTAGATTCAAAAAGTGTGTTTGCTCTGGGCTCTTATCTATTTTTATTTAACACTTTGGTCCTAAGCATTTCTTTTTCTCTTTTCCTCCCCATCCTAACACCCTGCTCAGTTTTTCAAGGCAAGAACTCAACATTAATCTGTCCAAGGCCAATCTGTACTACAAAACTATGTTGAAGCTAGGTACTGGATTTAAACTGATTTAAGCCAATTTTCACTAATGTTTCCATTACATTTCTAGGCACGGAGATTTTGAAAGCTCTTTTGATTTTGTCACATATCTTATGTGTTCCATTTTTAAAATATTCAGGCTTTGAAAACTGGATTTATCCTCAGTACAAACTAGGTACACCCTTTGTTAAATGTTTATAAGTTATTGGTTAAACTAGTCATTGTTTACTTACACTGCTTTAAAATATTGTATTTTATAATTGAATCTTTCATGAGAAATAAAGAGTTATATTGCCGCTTTGTTTGTTGACAGTACTGTTATAGCAATTTGATTCGAAAGAAAGCATTTATAAAGTGCCAAAATAATAAACTAGCACAAACAGGACAGGTTATAGCTAGAGTGAAACAACAAAAATTTGTTTACCGCTATTCTAAATTATAGTAATTGCTGTACAAATCCAATTAAACTGCTGACCTAGCTACAGTTCTGACAAAGGTTCCACTCTACAAAGCTACTTTTTATTTATCATTCCTATTATCTCTGAACACCACCTATACTGCAACTGGCTTTTAAGATTCAAATTAGTTTCATGGCTAATCATAATATTTAAATATTTATTTATAAGACTTAACTACCACTTTCCTGCCCATAACACATTTAGGGCAGCTAACCATTTTTTTAAAAAATGTGTTATTTACAATCTGAAAATTTTTTAATGATCACAATTCAAGCAGAAAACACTTGGCTAAAGAAAAATATATTTTGATCACCAAAGCAGGAAAAATGGAAGCTGAGTGTCATGCCTGAGAGTATGATTTGGAAGCAAAACAGAAAAATATCCTCCTTGACCTACAAGAGACCACAAAAAGCAAGGGCATCTTTAGAGAACCTTCCCATGCCATGCAGTTCATAGCAAGCAATGCATGGGATGGTGAATCCTGGAATCCCTATGGCATCACTAAAACCACTATGCTGTGACTTAGGAAATCTGAAATACAAATTGCGCTTCAGTTGTAAACACAATGCATTGTTAGGTAACTCAACTGTCAGTCTATAGTCCTCCCACTATAGTTAAAATATAGTACTATAAAGTATTATTCTAAGGATTGCAACTAATAATGTATATGTCTGAATACCAAAAGCATGAAATAATTATTAGGTTCTATACTATTTTTGCGCACTATATAATGTTCACCACCATAAATGGTCCTTACAGGGCCTTGCTGGTCAGGGAGAACAAACTTGGGCCAGAGGTTACCAGTGCAATCACATTTTTACATAAGGACTAGACAACCCATGAGCCACTCAGTCACCAGTTCAGATATATCCTTACCAGATTCCTCAATGTCTTCAACAGTAACAGCTTCTAATGTACTTGAAAAGTTCTTTAAAAATTCATTGAGGATTCAGAGATGAACTGCCTTAAAGCAGCCATGTTCAATTCAGGAAATGTTTTATAACAGGTGTCAAACTCACATCATCACGGGACTATCAGGACTTTTTTCCCCTTCGCTAAACCAGGCGTGGGCATGACCAGTGCATGATGCATCTGGCCTGTGGGCCAGAAGTTTGACAGCCCTGTTTTATGACATCTGATACATCAGAAAACAACAATTCTGGGCCAGATGGGTCAATGCCTGACAGAATTATCTGGATACATTATCAACATAGCCTTTTTGGTCATGAGTTCATTTGCTTGCTAGTTTTTCTCTTATGGGCAGACTGATAGCACCAGAATCTCTTAAAGGAACAGCATTACTAAGAGCAACCCAAATTTTTACCAGATTGGGGAGTAACAGCAGTGACAACTGAAAAAATGAAAAAAAAATCCAGCAATATCTAATAAGAGATTTTGGATCAAGCAGTAAGCGACCAGTTAGTTGAACAAAATCATTTTACTTATCTACTAACTTCAAAACATCCAAAGGGCAGTGTGTCATTCATTTCAACAATAAACAGTGCTCCTAAATTTCTGGATGGGCTTTTGTAGAACTAATGCTAACTTAGATAAGCTGCTTGTCATGCCCCTAGTGGAGACTGACTCTGAGGGAGAGGAGGAACAGCTGACAGGGAGTGGAAGGGTGGCTCCCGGAGGTTGTGGAAGAGGCTGGGGAAGGGCAGAGGCCAAGCTGAGCAGAGGAGAAACCCAAGCCCATCCCCTATCCGTCCTAGGGCACGCAGGGAGGAGAGGATGAGGGAGACATGGTCTACTCAGGAGGAGGGCCTTCATCCTCTTCATGGGCTGCAGCTATGACAACTGAATAAGAGGACATGCGTACGGGCAAACGCTGGAAACAAAGGGTGGAAATATCTCTATGGTACCTCTGAGTTTGGTGTCCTTCTGTGTGTTCTGTTATCTGTGGACGTCCTCCAGCCCTTATCTTGCCTGGTTTGTGTTGTTTTTTTCCCTCCTTCTTGTAACTGCTTGTGTGCGAGTTTATTGTCTTCCGTCAAGGATATTTGGAGCTTGGAAGCAAAGTGAAGGAATAAAAGGGGCTTCACCTGGTTTTTGTGACTGTGTTTATTTTGTATCCCCACCCTGGGTCATCATACTGCTAGCCTACCGTAGCACAGCTCTTAAAGCCTAAAGCATCCATTTGCATCTGCCCACCCACAGCTATGTGGCATGTTTCCATAACACCTGTTACAAAGTGAAGTCTTGTGAATAGCAGCACTTTGTACTTTTTCACAAAAGAAAAAAAAACTGGTTGTTACTGAACAATGTGCTTATATGCAAGATAATAAATGTTCTGAGAAAAAAAAAAATATTATGGTAAATGTAAAATGTGGATGCCATACACTTGACCTTCACATGGTCACTGAAAACAGTCGTCTTCAATTCTCTTTTTTGCCCACTTCTCTGTGAAGCAGAACCTAAGAAAGGAGAGGGAAAAAAATTGCTTCCAACTGCCAGCACTGCACATACTGTTGCTAAAAAGAAGCTAAAAAGATCCATGGATAATATCAAGATTTTTCCTGCTGTCCCTTAGACTTGACACCTTTTCAGTATTTTATTTTAGAAAGAAAATTTTAAAAAAATTATGTTACTAGGGATATTTCAGCCTGGAACATTGTCCAAGGAGCAGGTGTTTGGGCTAGAAGACCTCCAAGGTCCCTTCCAATTCTGATGATGAAACACTGCGGTACTTTCCATGAGCTGCCAATTGAAAGAAGCCAAGACACACTCTGAGATAAGGATTTCATTTAATGAGCACAATATAGCAGGGCCAACATTGAAGGTGATCGTTTTTGATCACAATATTCAATTATTTTGCCTCCAAAAGGAAGCTCTGAAAAAGAAAAAGAAAAAGTAAGTTATTAAGAACCTGGGATTTATTCTCCCATTTTGAAAATGATATGCAAAATATAATCTTATGTAAGATATAAAATATTTGTTTTATGAAGTCCAAAAGGTCTAACAGTTATAACCCTAAAACAAGTTCATGACATGAAATGCCACTGCAAACATAATTAGCCACCTTGTGCCTTAGTAGTAAAGCTTCTAACAGCATGATTTGAAAACTGGTAAAAATTAGCAGCAGTGAAACTGGCTACATTTTTCCAAGAAAGCACATGAATATTAGAATTAAGAAAAGCACATCATCAATAGATCAAAAAAAAAACCCATAGGAGTGACTTCCGTTAAAACAAATAAATCTATCTTTTTATTTTATTTATTATTTTACTTTGCTTTAAGTGAATTACAATCTTTTATTCTGTATTTCAATATGCACCAATAACAGGTCTGTGCCATTTCTTTGCTAACAATGTGAAAGTGATTTAATCAGTCTTGTTTATGCCACCCAACCCGCAAAGCTATTCAGTTGCCTGCCTTCTCCCAGAAAGGGTTTTGACTTCCTGGGTCAGGGTGGGAAGAAAATGTGTGGCCTGAGATCACCCAGCTGGCTTCTAATAAGGGAGAACTTAAACCTGGGAGCCTCACTCAATGTCAGCACTTCAACTGCTATGCTACCCTATCTAACCTAGCTTAAAAGAAACATTCCCTTGAATTATTGAAGCATAAACTGAACAATTGCTTACTTAGGATTAATAGATGTCATTAGGGCTTCACACTGTGAAACACTCCTGCTTTTTTCTTGTCCTCAAAGTCTTTTGCGAAGTCAAATGTTTTATAGAAATCTCTGTATTTGTTTTGCCTTTCTTGAATGAAAAAATACTGAAGAGAAAAGGTTACTGTTACAAGGCTTTATTTAATACAGGCAACTCGATTAAATACTAAATAAACACATTTTTAAAAAATAAGAGCAATGTCTATGAAAGCACTGCTCATGGGGAGCTTAAATTGTTTACAAAATGTTGAGAAAACTGTGATGCAATGATGAAAAACGTGCACACTGTTAACACTACAATCCTGTACCTATTTACCTGGGACTTACTTAAGGACCCTAATTGGGACCAGAATTCTTACGAAATGAAGCAGCCATTAAACAAAACGTGATACCACTGCTTAGAAATGGAAGTTCTGGTACAAGACTTTTGACCATTTGTACTTATCATGGCCTCAGAAAGGGTGCTTTATAGCCCACAAACCACTTCCAGCTGAATAGAATAGAATAGAACAGAACAGAATTCTTTATTGGCCAAGTGTGATTGGACACACAAGGAATTTGTCTTGGTGCAAATACTCTCAGTATACATAAAAGAAAAGATACATTCGTCAAGAATCATAAGGTACGACACTTAATGATAGTCAGAGGGTACAATAACCAATCAAATCATACTAGGAAACAGTCAATATAAGCTGACATAAAACATCACCATCCCCACTTCCTGCATTCACATAAATGCATTTTGGGCACTTGGACACATGTTCACACATGCAATCAGTTGTCAAATGCTCTCTACAATTATGTTATTGCCATTTGCATTCTCCTCTGCTGGTTTTCCCAGATAGTCAAAAAGCAAGCCAGCAGGGAAGGTTACAAGCCGCTGCCACCTGCCAAAAAGTTTCCCTCTCATCTCTGGGGGCTGACTGAAAGAGCTGCTGGCTGAGGAAAACCGACACTCCTCTTCAGAGTGCAGAAACAAAGTTTAAATCATGAAGGGTCATGGCAAGGACCTGATCCGCCATCCCCTCCCACTTGTGATTGTAGGACTGTAACTTTGTTACTTGTATCCTTACAATTTATATTGACTGTTTCCTAGTATGATTTGATTGTTGATTGTACCCTATGACTATCATTAAGTGTTGTACGTTATGATTCTTGATGAATGTACCTTTTCTTTATGTATACTGAGTATTTACACCAAGACAAATTCCTTGTGTGTCCAATCACACTTGGCTAATAAAGTTTATTCTATTCTATTCTGATTCTATTCTATTTTATTCTATTCTCTGAGATAGAACAGGTTCTACATTCACCTTGCCTTCATTTACTAACTGGGAGGTGCCCACCCCCCTTGGAACAAGTGGTTGCTTTGCAATACCATGGCTAGCAGCCAAGGGTGAGGGAGGAAGCAGGGGTGGGATTCAACCTGTGTTACTACCGGTTCGGTGATGTTTTGTGCACGCATGTAAAAAACCTTAAGCTGTGCAGTCCAGACACCTGAAAAGTGTTGCGTGCAGGTGCACAGCATTTGAAAAGCCATTTTTTTCCTGCTTTTTCAACCTCAGCTGTGCCGTGCAAGGCAGCTGAGGTTGAAAAAGCAGGAAATAAAGGACAGGTAAGAGCCCAGGCAGCCGGGTGGGCCAAACAGCAGCAAACACAGAACTGGCTTGGTGTCGGCTGCTCTTCAGAGCTACCGGTTCTATAGAGCCAGGCAGAACCTTGGAGGAAGGTAGTGGGGACAATTAAAGCACACCCTGAGAGTGTAAATCTGTCCAGGTTGCTAAGCACCCAAATTTTGATCATGTGACAGGAGAGCACTGCAACAGCCATAGCTTCCATTACTGGCTGTAACTACCATTTGTTCAGCACCATCATAAATCACAAACACTGTGCAAATAGTCGTTAAACAAGGGCTATCTGTAATTTTGCAGGACTTGCCCAAATATATAAGAACTACACTTAAGAATTTTAAAAAAAATCCAGTTTATATTAAGTTTTAACACAAGAAATACTGACCTCCAAGAAAAAAAAGCTTCCTGTTACTAAGGTAACTCCTATCAGAAAATTCCTTCTTACAATTCTTCCCAGGAGCTCTCTCATTTGTGGTTTGGGCAACAGATTAGAAGACATGTTGAAGCTTTCTCCTAAAACAGAAGGGGAAATTAAGGGTTTGCTATTATGATCACAATATTAAGAACAACAAAAATCACAACTACAAAGCGTTCCCTATACCAGAAAAGGGGCATTTTTATAGAATTAATTCTTTGGATATTGTTTTATTTGTTAGAAATACATAATGTGTGGTATTTTCTAACAAATAAAACAATTTCCAAAGAATGGCCTAGGGGTACAACCTAGGGCTCTATAAAGGTTTTGAAAAGAGATTTTCGGTAATAGTCAGGACAAAGTTAATAAAGGGCCACTTTTCAAATTAAAGCAATCCAGCTGAAAGGTTCCAGAAGCTGCTGCTGCTGCTGCTATATGCATACATGCAGCAGAAACATTTGGGAGCAGCAGTTTCTTCTACACAGCAGAAATGCAACTAAAAATAAAGTGGCTGCTTTAACAAATAATAAGACAATCGGTTAAGTAGAGGACTCCTGCATTTTACAAAGCATCTCATTCTAAAGCTTTGCAAACTCCCAACAGGGATGCACAATGTATCCTTCCTTTCCACATCTGCATATGGGAGTTTCAATCTTCCACTTTGGGAATCTATAATGTTAACTGCCAGCCTGGCAAGGGCTCCCCGTGTACAGAGTCAACCTGCTGACATTTTTTTTTAATTATTATCATTATTCCGCCACTCGTCCAAAATGCAGCAATCCGTTCGGCAAACCCGGTCTTTTCCCGCACTACAATCCATAGCTTCCTCCATCACAGTTTACAAATAATCTATCATCTGCAGCATTCGCAAGGGGGACAGTTACGTCCTAATTCACGGCCAACCGACCGCAATGGAGAGAAGCAAGTCATGACCCCAAAATAGACGGACGCACCCAAGTCATCCCCCCCCCAGCCCACCACCTGCACCGCCACAGCCAGACCCCAAAGGAGTCCCCCCTCCCCGGAGGCACCGGACTGTCTCTAGCCTGTTCTTTGTGGACCGTCCCAGTATCGAGCCCCGCCCGGCGTCCCCCCGAGGGCAGGGAAGCAGAAAACCGCGCACGAGGCCTCCGCGAACACTCACGCCCGACACCAAAGCACCAGGAAGTTCCTTCTCTGACCCCTACGGACCCAAGGCCTTCACTTTCAGAGGCTCGGTTCCGGCCTGCGCGTGCGCGTCCCGGGTACGAAACTACGGCAAGCACTCAGTCCAAACTTGCAAATCGCGGCAGCTGCTTCTCGGAGAGCGTCGGGGGGGCGGGATTCATCGCCGGAAGAGGCGGGCTTTTGCCAGGCGCGGGGCGGGGCGGGGCTGAAAGTGGACGAGGCGCTGCGGCGCGACGAGGTTCGAGAAGAAATAAAACGCGGTTCGAGGTGCGGGTGTTGAGGTCCAAGCGGCCGAGTTGCTTTCCCCAACCTGGCGCCCGCGATCCGGCTATACCGGAGAAATGCAAGATGGTGCTGCGAACAGCTACTCTTGGTTCGCTTTTTAGAGCCTCCTTTACAGTGCAATGCGCTAATCGTGAACGTCCGCGGTGTGGCTCTTAGAGAGAAACAGAATTGGAAGGGACCTTGGAGGTCTTCTAGTCCAACCCCCTGCTCAAGCAGGAAACCCTATACCATTGCAGACAAATGCTTGTCCAAGCTCTTCTTAAAAACTTCCAGTGTTGGACTATTCAACAACCTCTGGAGACAAGTCACTTGAGACTTTCAAGAAGAGATTGGACTGCCATTTGTCAGAAATGGTGTAGGGTCTCCTGCTTGGGCGGGGGGGTTGGACTAGATGACCTACAAGGTCCCTTCCAACTCTGATTGTCTGTTATCTGTTAAGTTGTTCCACTGATTAATTGTTCTGTCAGGAAATTTCTCCTTAGTTCTAGGTTGCTTCTCTCCTTGATTAGTTTCCACCCATTGCTTCTTGTCCTGCCCTCAGGTGCTTTGGAAAATAGGTTTGATTCCCTCTTCTTTGTGGCAGCCCATCAAAGTTCGGGGTGGCTAATTTTTGTCTAGCTTTTAATGAAACATTCGTGGCTGTTCCTGTGATTTGCATTGCTAAATTCCAAATTCCTCGCAATCCCAGGTTGTCCAAACGAGGAGCTGCAGTTTAGCCCCCCTTCCACATTCCCCCACCCAAAAAAAAGCCCTGCGAGAACATCTGGACAAGAATGCCAACAGAATTCATTTGAAACCCCTGCAATTTCAGGGATGTCATTCTAATCGTGGTTTGCCAACTGCCCTGGGGGAAGTAGTGGGCTGTGGCATCCTCATCCAGAGTGATTGATGGTCCTCCTGCCTGGTACCAGCTGGATCTGATGCTGTGCAGTTTTGGAGGCTGGGCGAGATTAGCCAGATACCACCATCGACATCATTTTTGTGGTTCTGGACTGGAGTTACTTCTGAAAACTGGACTAACAGCTGGCCTGTCAGATATAATTGGCATTGTTGCACACTGAATGCAGAAACAAGTCCTGTGTGTCACAATCAAAATCAGATTTGCTCCTTTTTTCTGGGCCAGGAATGAATTCATGGCAAACTGTTGATTTAGAACTGACGTGATGCCAAATATATTATAGCATTGTTTAAAAATTAGTATTTTAAAGTGGATGTTATTTAAAACAGACATCAGAATTTCAGACATTTTATTTGGATTTGTTGTACCGTGTTGGGCACACCACAAACATTTTGCTGTGTTATAAATTAAATTGTGACCAATTGATCACACATCATTTTTGCCATATTGTGACAAGTTTTGTTTTCTGTTGATGTTGAGTTCTTACTAAATTTACTGTTATATGGCTTCAAGAATATTCCTGATGTAAGTTTTGCCTTTTGATCCGCTGTTAGATCCCATGCAGTTTGCATACCGAGCAAATAGATCAACAGATGATGCTGTTAATGTGGCTCTGCACTACATCCTACAACACCTTGAATCTCCAAATACCTATGCAAGGGTCCTCTTCGTAGACTTCAGTTCAGCATTCAATACCATCATTCCAGACACTCTTCTAAGTAAATTAAACCAACTAGCGGTACCTGAACACACTTGTAAGTGGATCATAAGCTTCCTAACAGACAGGAAGCAGCAGGTGAAGCTAGTCAGAATCACATCTCATACCTATACAATTAGCACAGGGGCCCCCCAAGGCTGTGTGCTTTCTCCACTTCTCCCTATATACCAATGACTGCATCTCAAATGATCCATCTGTTAAAATACTGAAGTTTGCAGGTAGCACAACAGTGACTGGTCTCATTCGAGACAACAACAAATCTGCATACAGATGGGAAGTTGTACAACTTGCCTCATGGTGTAACCAGAACAATCTGGAACTGAACACACTCATACTACCACCTCTTACAATACTAGACAACACAGTATCAACAGTATAGAGACCTTCAAATTTCTAGGTTCTGTTTTATCACATGATCTAAAATGGACACCTAACATGAAAAACATCATCAAAAAAGCACAACAAATAATGTTCTTTCTGCATCAACTGAGAAAGCTCAAACTGCCCTAGGAGCTGCTGATACAGTTCTATAGAGGAATTATTGAGTCTGTCATCTGCACCTCTATAACTGTCTGGTTTGGTTCTGCAACCCAACAGGACAGACACAGACTTCAGAAGATAATTAGAACTGCAGAAAAAACAATTACTACCAACCTGCCTTCAATCGAGGACCTCTATACTGCAAGAGTCAAAAAGAGGGCTGTGAAAATATTTACAGACTCCTCACATCCCGGACATAAACTGTTTCAACTCCTTCCCTCAAAACGACGCTATAGAGCACTGCACACCAGAACAACTAGACACAAGAACAGTTTTCCCCCCGAAAGCCATCACTCTGCTAAACAATTAATTCCCTCAACACTGTCCAACTATTTACAAAGTCTGCACTACTATTACTATTAACTTTCTCATCACTCCTTATCATCCATCCCCTCCCACTTGTGTCTGTATGACTGTAACTTTGTCGCTTGTATCCTTACTATCTATATTGACTGTTTCCTAGTATGATTTGATTGCTTTTTTGTACCTGTTGACTATTATTAGGTGTTGTACTTGATGATTCTTGACTCTTGACGAATGTATCTTTTCTTTTATGTATACTGAGAGCATTTGCACCAAGACAAATTCCTTGTGTGTCCAATCACACTTGGCCAATAAAAAATTTTCTCTTGATAATTCTAAGTTGAGTTATAGAATTTTTATTACAAAACGATATCATATAAAATTATAGGCTTCCCATTTTCTGTGCTTGGCACTATTTTTAATGCAAAATTAGCTATTTCTACATTTTTTAAAGAAAATAACTTTATCTTAAAAAGTGCAGCCCATGTTTCTATTATATTAACACATATGAGCTACATGATGGTTTAAATAATTTGTATATATTTAGATTAAATGAATTTTTATTTATTTTCTTATGGAACACTTGGGCAACTTCTGTGTGGTATGTATGTATATCCTTTTTTTTAAATGTGACATTCTTTACCACTTCCTGCCTCTGAGAAGGTATGAACTTACATCAATCCATATTTGCCATCCCGGTATTAATTAAGTACTTGCCAACTGGAACTGGAACTTGATGAAATTCTAGAAGGGTATCAGCAAAGCAAGATGTTGAAGACAAATGGAAAACATGAACTAATAAAAAGGCTCAACCAGTGGAACTGCAAATTTTGCTTTTGAAGTCTTTCAAGTACTGCATGCTTTAATTTTGGAGTAATCTTACAATGATGAATGCAAAGAACAAATAAGCAGGAATGGTTTTTCTAACTTTTGGACCATATGAAGATGAAGCAATATGTTGATGGTTACCAGTGATTACCACAACTATTGAAAGCATTAGTCATTAGGTTGGATTTTTAATCACTGGCTTGCAAAAGCTTTGAGGGTGAGGGAAAAAAATAAATTTTGAATGCTCCTTTCCTTTGCTTTAAAAAAAAAAAGACAAAAAGTACCAAACTTCATAGAAAGGTTTGCCCAAATAAACAGGACTATTTGGAAGCTTTTGACAAACAATGATTAGTTTGCTTCAACTGAAAAAGTGGAATGCAATCTATAAAAACATTTTGAAAGAATTGTTTAGTATTTTTAAGATAAAGCAAGACTTTCTTATTCTAATAAATACATGTGAATTTCTCATACCTGGTCTTTAAATACGAAGTCTTACTTAAGCATTCTCCAGATATTTGCAACTCTCAAAATTCTACAGTTAGTGTGGCCATTGCTAGGAGTTTATGACCACACATTTGGACATCTAGATTCAGGAAGCTGGACTAAGCATTATTCTATGTACAAACCAATGAAGCACAGAATTGGAAGGGAACAAAATATTATTGAAGCCATCTGCCAATATAGGAAAATTTCTGACATTGGTCATTAAGCTGTAGCTTAAAATATTCTATCTCTGGGAATCTTATTTTTTGTTTTCTAGTCTGAGGAACGGTTTCTGTATTGAATATATCTGCCTGTTATCAGAAGGTATGCCAAATTTGTGCTATTTTGACATCTCCATTTATTCCAGAAAGTCATCTCTTCAAGAAAAAAGCAGTTTGCTCCATTTGCCAGAATATTACAAAGTCCTGGTGATCAGAGAAAGTACCGTGTGAAGACTGGATGTTCTTTATGGAGAGCTGTCTTCAACCAAGCTTTGGTTTCTGGATTAGATCTGACTAATGGGCAGTTCCTGCCCTTGTTTTGTGTCTAGATTATAATTATATTATAATTAAATTGTCAGGAAATTCTTCCTAATGTTTATATACACTCTTTTCTGGGAAATAGAACCTGTGGACTGGATCCTATTTATCAAATGACAAATTTTCCTGATATGAGAGCCATTCAGATATTTTAAAAGATGATGATTGATTGATTCATCATTGTGTTCCATATGTTGTTTCTTTCTTTTTTTTAAACAAAGTTTTTATTTTTTACAACAAACATACGAATAAAACATAAAAACATAAAACCCTCTTTCAATTATATACATACATATACATATGTTGTTTCTGATGTCTAGTGACCACATAGATTTTCTACATCACATGATCTATCCTTTTAGGTCTTCCTTTGTTTTTATAGTAGTTTTATTAAAGATTACAATTTATAATAGCAAAAACTAATGCAAACTAAATATATTTAAAAGAATAAAACATACAAGAAGTGCATAAAAATAAGTAGAAAAAATATTTTAACATGAATT